GAAGACTTTTAAATTTCTCATGTAAAATGAGATACATATGTTTTGTGTAGCTATAAATTATTATATAAATATAAATTATTTTTAAATACGAGAAGGGGTCATTTTTTGTATGAATTAAAAAGTCAATAAATTCACATAAAATGAACCAGATAGAGTAAGAATCATTAACTTGCATATCAATTAAATAAAGGAATATTTGAGAATTATTTTTGTTTTATTCTTCAGAAAAAAGGGATAAAGATAAAATTGGCTTGACATGTTTTTGTCGCAATATCATAATAGGCCATTTCTCTAATTCGAACTTAAGATAGACATGTTTTAAATTCGTCTTAATCTTCTTTACTCTATTTCTGAGTTTTGTATATATGAGAAATTGTAGTTATTAGGTATTTTCTGAGAAGTTGAAGACCGCCGTTTCTTTTTGCGCGTGTGTTATCATTTACAGCTTGTTTGGACGGTCGTCACATATTGCTTCATAATGTATCGTATTGTATTGTACTGTATTATTTGATTAACATAATATTTGGATAGAACGTATCGTTTGCCGTTGTTTTATGATATAATAACGGGTAGTTTGAAGAATAAACTTGCAATATTATAAAGAAAAATTATGATACATAATAGAGTTAATATATAAAAAGGTATGGTAAAGGATAAACTAAAATTATTTAACAATAATGAAGGGCGAGATAAGAGAAAAAGACAAGGTAACGACGCGACCACACCAAATCGGTCGTTACATAAAATGACAGATTTCATCGTTACGTAACAACGGATTTAACGATACGATACAATAAAATTTAAATAACAATCAAAACAAATACCGTATTTAAAATAACAATACGATACAATCAGTAATCCAAACAAGCTGTTAGGCATGGAAAAATGTCATCTTGCCATATTTTTTATTTGTTTCCCGAATAAGGAAGCATTCAACTTTAAAAAATAAGCTTGACTGAATATTGGTATACTTTAAATTTAGAAATAGAAACATTTACACGCCAAAAAGACTTAACATATTAGGTTTGGATTTGACTTCCACGATTCGCATTTTTCCTTTTCCGAATCTATCTTCATAACAACGACAACAACAACATACTATTTAAAAAGGCAAGTTGGTGTACAAAGTATTACGCATTTACGTAGGGTCCGAAGAAGCGTCGCACCCCAAGGGAGTATGATATAAACAGTTTACCTTGATGAAAACACCAATTATTGATTCCACGACTCGAACTCGTGACTGTTGCTACAAGGTTGACTTCACGTAAGTTTCCAGAGCACTTAAATTAGGAGAACAAGGAAAAGTAGTTCTAAAAATTCCACAAGATTACATACAATTTAAAAGGAAAAGATCTACAGATGGATTTTGGGGATCCCATGAAAGAATATAAAAGCAACTAATTTGGTAACGGTTTAAGCTAGCGTTTAGCCATAGATCTTAAATTTATTTTGAAAAATCTGATTTGGTGAAGTTTGGTTTGAAGATGAAAATGTGTTTGGACATACGTTTTCAAAATATATTTTCCAACTTTATTTTGGAAAAACATGTATATAATTGAAAATTTTACACCCTATAGAAAACCTTAGTACCCTATTTATTTTAAATAAATACCTTTTTAAAATATTACATCCTATAAATACCTTTTATCCTTTATAGCAAAATATATAATTACAGTTAAATCCTACATTTAAGGCATCATATATGCTAAATAAAATTTTTCTCTCTCCTTTTTTATATTTTCTCTCACATAATCACCGTATATCTGCTCTAACCACGTTCTCTCTCTCTTTTTGCATACACTTTACTCTCTTCTCCCACAAACCCACATTTCATAAATCTTCTCCCACCCAAATTCTCTATTTCTCCGCCATTATCAATCCCACATTCAAAATCTTCAGAGATTCACTGTTTTAGTTCCGATTTTTATACGCCTGGTAAGTTATCTTCTTCGATATTGCTTTATCATTATTTTGTTTCTATAATTTTTATACCGATTTTTCATAAATTTCTGAAACAATAACCATTGGTATTGTTTACTCACTAGGAAGCTTTGGGTTTTCTCTCCAATGGCGGATTCAACGCCACACAAGATGATAACCAGAGGTATACCCACCAAAATTCTCAATTTTGATGGGCCCTCTTTCTCGTTGCAAATAACTCAAGCGGAGTCGGATTTTGCAGGTTTATCACCACGTCCAGTTTCAGAGAAGAAGAACAAGTCAACACTTTATATACCATTGGATTTTGGAGTTGATCAAGTTAATTCAAAAAATTGGTTTTACCTTCTATCGTTTGACGGGAAGCTATGGGATGACAACGTAAGTTTTTCCCCTAACCGACTAATTTTATTTGAATAACAACATGCTGTTGTATTCAGCTGTATTCAGATGTATTTTTCAGCTGTATTCAACTGTATTATAGTGTATGCAGTTGTATTCAGCTATAATTAGTTGAATTGAACTGTATTACTCACTTAGAGTCAGCTGTATTCAATTGATATATTCAAGCTTTATTCAACATCCGTATTCATCTGTATTCAGCTAATTTCAATTAAGTTCAAATGCTTTAATCAGCTGTATTCAACTGAATTTGTATTTAGCTGTATTCAAATGTTTTTATCAGTTGTATTCAACTGAATTTGTATTCAGCTTTATTCAACATCTACATTCAGATACATTTAGCTATATTTCAGTTGAATTCAAATGCTTTAATCAGTTGTAGTCAGTTGTATTCGACCTAATTTATCTGTATTCAGCTGTATTCAACTGTAGACAATCAATATTCAACTGTTTAAATCGTCTGTAGTCAGTTGTATTATTCAATATTATTCAGCTTAACATATATTTTTAAAAACTGAATTTTTTTAATCAGATGTAGTAAGATGTAATCAGATGTTGTATTCAACTGTACGTATTCAAGCATCATTATTGTATGTTATATACAAATCTAATTGTATGAATTATTTTTAATTGTTTCAATCAATTATTTTTTAGGGATTGTGGGGCGCATGTTGCAGCATACGCAGAGTTTCTGAGCACTCTTGGTGAGATTCCACAAACAATATTTGATTCTAATCTACTCCGTCAAAGATATGATGCTCTCCTCTGGGACTATGCTATGCGGAAGATAGACGCTGATGCCATAAGCGAGAATGAAGCACCTTCAAAGATTGCTATGCAAATCACGGAGTCAGATTCAAAGATGCAAATAGTGTTAGAGTAGCTTTAGGTTATTGTAGTTTTGGAGTGTAGTTTCAAAAAGAATACTGTTTTGAGTAGTTTTTGGTGTAGTTCGTATTTAGTTTGAAAAACTTAACACTTTATCAACAGTGTTCGCGTATGACAATTGCAACTTTTCAATCATTCAATGGTTTGTTCATGAGTATTCATGCTAATTCTTTGGTTTGAATACATATTTATCTTACAGGATTCAAGTATGTGTTAATACCAAGTAACTTTGCTTGAACAAGTTTTAGTTAATGAACATGTTAATGTCAATTTCAGAAACTTTATGTATGTTGATGGTAGGTTATATAAAAGAATTCAGATGTTTTTTTTTTCTGGATTCAGTTGTATTCAGTTGTATTTTGACTGTCAAATTCAGCTATATTCAGTTGTATTTAGCAGCATTCTTTCAAATGTATCTTTCAAGTTCAGATAATACATATTAAAGAACACAATTTCAGATGTATTAAACATGTTGTACGTAATCACTTGTATTCAGATGTACTCAGTTGTATTTAAGTGTATTATTCAACAATAGTTAGTTGTATTTAAGTGTATTATGCAGCTATATTCAGTTATATTTTGGTGTATTCATTTACTAACAGTGCTACTCAACGGTATTATTCATACAAATACATCAGCTGTATCCAATTGTATTTTTTAGTATTCATCTACACTCATTTATACTCAACTGTATATATTTCATCAGCTGACGCGGCATACGCAGAGTTTCATAGCACAATTGGGCTGGTTCCACAAGTAAAATTTGATACCAATTTAATCCGTCAAATATATAGTGCACTCCTTTGGGACTATGCTACGCGGAAGATAGACGTTGATGCCGTAAGCGAGAGCGAAGCACCTTCAAAGATTCTTAGGCACATCACCGATTCTGATACATCGGTGAAGATAATGTTAGAGTAGTCTTAGGTTGTATTAGTATGTATGCAACATGTTGTATTGATATGTATTCAACTTATTGTATAAGTCAGTATTCAACATGATATATTTATCTATATTCATTAAGTTGTATTTATATCTATTCACCAGGTTATGTTCATATATTTTCAGCAGGTGTTTTTAGGCCTTCATATTTATATGATATATTGCATTGATATGTATTCAGCTGTATTTTGAATACGCTTTTGTATATAACTGATTGTAATAACAGATTATCATAATTTGTATTCAAGTGTATTTGAATACATGTATTTAACATTCATAAATCATATTAACTCTCTGTTGTACTATATGTATTCCAAAAAGAATCATCAGTTCAATGTATTCAATGATTGTATTCGTCTATATTCATATATAATGAAGATACAACATGATATATTTATCTATATTCATTAAGTTGTATTTATATGTATTCACCAGGTTATGTTCACATATTTTTAGCAGGTGTTTGTAGACCTTCATATTTATATGATATATTGCATTGATATGTATTCAGCTGTATTTTGAATACAGCTTTTGTATATAACTGATTGTAATAACAGATTATCATAATTTGTATTCAAGTGTATTTGAATACATCTATTTAACATTCATAAATCATATTAACTCTCTGTTTTACTATATGTATTCCAAAAAGAATCATCAGTTCAATGTATTCAATGATTGTATTCATCTATATCATATATAATGAAGATGCAACGGTCGTATTTTAATTACGTATTCAGATTTAATACACCAACTAAGTATATCCAAAATATATTCGAAATGATACCGGAATCTATAACAAATTGTTTTTCATTAATACAAGTCAGATTGTGAACTAATTTCAACGTGGAGCATTTCTACAAGTACGCTTATTATGTCATTCCTGCCCACATATGCTACACGAATGTTGATTTTTCTTCTGCAGCAATTCAATGAAGGGCTTATCACGCTTCTTCTTTGGTCTTCCAGGAGGTCTTTTCTATTTGGGCGGTAATACAACTTCATCTGCTACATGTGCTGGTATATTCCATTTTTTCCGGTCCGGCGAAGGATACACGGGCACCTCATATGTCATTACAACAGACTTTGGTTTGTAATAATCAGAGCAATAATCTTCTGGCATTAGACACTTGCTCTTCAGGACAGTCCAAGCGTGTGGGCACGATAATTCGTTGACTTGGAACCGACCACAACTGCATTTTTTCTCTAAAAAGCATATTGTGTAATGCCTTCCTTCATCGTTCACCGTATGCAAATATTCAGTCGATGGCACCACCTACATTTAAAAAAACAAAGCATACATATATATAAGAATAGACGTATTAAATATGATTTTCATATATAGTATTATAATTTTATTTAGTTTTAAGAATCATAATATATTTTGTATTAAAATACAACAACAGTAGATACAACTATATTTGTACATACAGAATTCAAAGACATACATGTATATACATGTAAATACATTGAATATATTAGAATACATACTACATGAAAGCTGGCAGAATATTAGAGTAGTCTTGACTGAATATAGGATACAACTTCCATTGCTACCTTGAAATATATACAGTTAAATACCTTGTACCATGGATACATATAGGAAACAGATACATAAATAAAAGGCAACTTACAGTCATTCGTGTAGACATTGCCTCATTCAAGGTAAGCATCTCCTGGTATTTTTTCCCAAGCGTTGTGTATGTCTGAAGAGCTTCTTGAACGTATGCCATATGCAAAATCGAATTTGAACGTATTTCTGTATACAATTGTATCAATCTCAAATTTTCTTGGTTGGAAATTAATTTCTACGAACTGTAACAATCAATTAACAGGTTTCTCTTAAATCATTTATCAACAGACAAACGGGTTGGCTAAGTGTAGAGAACAAGTAAGATAACCTGAATTATGCCTTTAATTCTCCAAACACCTCGATTGTCAACCACAACAGCTTGATCATCAGGATGAAGTCATTCAACTTCTTTTCTCACTTTCTCACATGAAACATTATGATCAGTCGACAACCTTTCTGCAACCACAGAATTCGTCTCCCCTTCAAAACCTCTGCGTCCAAGAACTGCCCTCGAAGGGAGATTTGAAAATCGACAGAATCCTCTATTTTTGGATACTTTCGGATGGAAAATCATTGATGGAGGGGAAATACAGATTATGGGTGCTATAATTGTGTTAGTTGAGTTATATTAGGGGACTATTTGCTAGATTGATTTTCTTTCCGTTTTTAATCAGTTGAAAGGTCCATTTTTTAAGGAATATACGTTACTGTATTCAATGATTCAACTCTTGAATACAGTTGAATACAACATCTTATTAACAGGTTTTCCATGATTCACGGCGCTTTTTTCTAATGTATTCAAGAATACAGTAACCTAAATACATCAAATACATCTTAAAACATCTAAAAACGTATCTACAGGCTGTAATATAACAAATGGTATCTATAGAGAGCTAATTACCACTAAAAGATATCTATTTATGAAAATTTCTCTATATAATTCCCAAGTTTTGGGATTTTGGTCCAAAAGCAACTCAATAGCTGATTTTGGGAATTGAGATTTGAGATTTGGGATTTGGCCAAAATATGGGCAAAATTTATGGCCAAACATGCGTTTTGAAAATAAATCCCAAATTTATTTTTGGCAAAACTCATGGCCAAACGGGGCCTAATACTCTGTTGGCCAAGCTTCTCCAAGCCAAAATCACTTTTTTTTGTTTTAAAAAAAATATATTTTTTTTTCAAAGTTGAAGTGTTTGGCCAAGCTTTTAGAGGGAAAAAATGATTTTTGAGTAGAAGCGAAAAAAAAGTAGTTTCTCTCCAAAAACACTTCTTTTAAAAGCACTTTTGAGTAAATACACTTAGAAGCAGTTTATAAAAGTTTGGTCAAACACAAATTGCTAACCAGAAGTGCTTTTCAAATAAATTAACCAAACACAAACTACTTCTCAATAAAAGTACTTTTGAAAAAACACTTCTCAAAATAAGTTGATTTCTGCAGCTTAACCAAACAGGTTATAAGTTTTATGTACTAATGACGTATTTATATCATTAAGTTACTTATAAAATAATTTAAAGTATATTTTTATAATAAATATGTAATAAATTTTCTATAAAAATAATAATTAACCTAAGCACTTATCGTGAAAAATATATCTCTCTATATATATATGTGTGTGTATATTATTATTTATTTATATGCTTATAAAGTAAATTCATTGGTATATAGTGGGGGCTTATATATTAAAGAAAGTCCACCAGTTTCAGTTACCCAAAAAAAAAAAAAAAACCAGTTTGCCATACATTAGTGCATTTTTTATTTATTTTTTATAATATAATATTCTATAATAATATATTAGTTTGACCGAGAATTGGACTAGTCAAGAACGCGTCCACGAAGTGCAGCCTACATGCATTCCACGTAGACAGTCTTCCGCCTTTGACTCGCGTCTGTGGACGATTTCATTTTAATAATATTTAAACTTCCAGTAAATCAAATTACATAATTCTCGTTGAAAAAAAGTACGTAATTCTTCAAATTTTTAACTTTAATAATGTAATTTTTCTACCCATAAATTAACCCTTTTAATTAATAGTTAATATTTTCTTTCAGTAGTACTTACATGATACACATTTTTTATACTAGTTTTAACTCATTGTTTTGTCAAATAACGTTATATTAGTTAAATTAAGTATGATATGATTGGTTTATTAAAATATAATTAAAATTTTAACAACCATTACAATAAACGAGTGAGTTCCAATTATATTCCTTTTGTACATCAAATCTTTTTGAATATACTAGGAAGGTTGTTAGAAACTTAATGGCCTTGACTAAGACAAAGATCGAGGTGAGGAAACTTCAAGTATGGTACCCTTTGTTAGGAGAATTTCATTGCTACTAATTTGAACTTTAATCTGTCGTATTATGTTTTTATTTATATTTGATGGGATGGATAAGATCCGATCACCTTAAATCAACTGTCACGGGTTCAATTCTTGAGCATGAAATTTTTTTTTTTAATAGGGAACGCTTCTCCTTTAATGACCTTACGCAATGCAAATTCAAATTAATAGGGACCTCAATATAAGTACCATGAATACGAATACTGAGTGAGAAACAAAAAGAAATAAGCTCCTTCCTTTAAAAAATAATTTTTTCTTTATTTTTTCCACCTTATATATCAAAATGTAAATTTTACGTACTTTCCATTGTGTCTCAAATCCCATGCTTATGATTTGGAGAAGAATACATCTCAGATTCTCAGCAACTACTTATAAGTTTCTCAGTTATATTCCACATGTATTTTCCATCCCTAGAAATGAAGTATCTTGTAGCAATTATGCTCAAAATTGCAATTTCACTCAAGTTTCCCATTCATATCAAGGTTCTTACAAACAAATTTCACAACAATTATGCAAAATTGACCCCTTTTCCTTTTTATGTTTTCAAGTACAAAATAAAGTAGAAGATACAGAGCCCGTTTGGATGAGCTTCTTTTAAGTGACTTTTAAGGTAAAATAGCTTTTAAGTCATAAGTTAGGAATTCTAGCTTTTTAGCTTGGTTTTTGTCATTTTAACTTAAAAACAAGTGCTTAAAAGTTAAAAATATTTTTTTACTTTGTAGAGGCAAATTCAAAATTTAAAAGCTATTGAGTTTACGCATAATTGATACAGTAACATTTAATCTTAGTCCACTCACATACACCACGAGTTTTTTGAAGTTGATGGCAAAATTGACAGCAGTGGACTTGTAGTAAAGCAAATAGAAGCATCGTGTCCTCCACCAGGCCATGATAACCACCACGAACCTTATATAGAAGCAATTAATACCCCATCATACCACTTCCTCTCTCATCATTTTACTAGTGGCTGCTTTAGCATTTTTTATTTTTATTTTTTATTATATCACATAACGGGAAAAGAAAATCACACGCTTATGAATTTAAAACCATATAAGTAAAATATGAAATTTATGATTTATTCTAATTTTAAATATCATAAAAATAAATATGAGCTTAAAACATATTCTTTTAATAAATATTTTAAACTAATGAATAAAAAAACCAAGTAAAATACGAAATTGTGTTTAACAACTAAAAAAATAAAAATAAAAAAAGAAGAAGCAAAATATGAGAAGTTATAAAATTATATGGAAGCACATCATAAGCAATATGTTGGAAGGTTAGAAAATGAGAATATGAGAAATATTAAAAAAAAATTGTAAAAAGAATAGTACTTAATATATTTGGAAAAATTACCTTATCATTATAAAGTGAAATTACCACAAATTCTTACCTCCTCTTAAAAATTGAAAAGTGTAATTATACCCAGTTTTATATTGATCAAGTAATTACTTGACCAAACAAACATATAAAATTATATAATTACATTCAAATCCAATTCCTATGTGACTTTTCAAACACGTTTAGAAGAATAACTTGGTCCGGACACAATGTTCTTAAAAAAACTACTATAACTTTTAGTTAATGTGACATCAAAATTGAAAGTTTTCTTTGGTAGATTAATTATTGGTGATTCCAGCTTGACTCATGTAAAGTTGGCATTTTCTTATAACAATCATTAATGTAATACTTAAGGATCTAGATCGGACATTAATTCTTGAAGTTTGGAGGAAAAGACCCACCAGCTACATGTAGTAGCTTATTAATTAAATAAAATTTTAAAAAAGCAGGAAATTTTCTCCATCTTCGAGTATATATTCCCTCCGGTCCATTTAATTACTTGTCCTACTTCTCTTTTACCTGCCCTTTAAGGAATTATTAATAAGAGTGTTTTTTGACTACTATACCCTTATTTAATATTTTTTTCTTCTAAGTTTCTTATGCTATGTAGTCAATCTTTTTTCTTTCAGTGGTAAAATAAATAAAAAAGGTAATTAATATACCTTGATTTTTACAAAATAACAATTAATTATGGATCAAATATACTTCCTCCGTTCACTTTTACTTGACACGTTTTGACTTTTTACGCGCCTTAAGAAATAATAAATGAAGTGTATAATTTACCATGGTACCCATATTAATTTATGAATATTTTATTGTATTTGAAAAAATAATTTAAAATGAATAATAAATACTGTGGGTATAACAAGATTTTTTTTTCTTCTCTTGATATGCGTAAATTGACAAATAAAATAAAAATTTATTTTTAGTATACCTGCCAAGTAAAAGTGAACAGAGAAAGTATTTAGTAACGAGGACAATTTACATGGTCGGAGGGAATAACATATGGATCAAATAGATCTAGCTGTTATAATCATGCAGCATTTAGTATCGCTGGAGCCTAAGCAAGTTCTACGATTAAAAATAATACAACTAACCTTAACTTGACGGTCAAACTTCTGTTTCTTGGGTCAAACGTCAAAATAATTTTATATTTCCTAATAGAAACTGCTTTATTATTTTCTAATTCTTGCGTTTTTGTTGTCCTACATAAATTGAAAAAGAAGTTGGTTTAAAGGTGTCTAACGGGCCGGGTCAGTCCGCTTCGGGACCGACCCAGACCGAAACCGGCCCGGACCGGTACAAAGGGGGTCAGGTGGGCTGGGTTAATAGGGTAAGGGGGGTTGGTCCGTTTACCTTGGGGCAACCGGTTAACCGGCCCGGTCAAACCCGGTCAACGGAATTTACTGTAGAACCGGTTAACCTGCCCGAACCGGACCGGCCAACCTGCCCGAACCGGACCGGCCCAGACCGGTATAACGACTACTTTCATAATTTTTTTTTTTTTAAATGGGGCCTGACTTTTTCTAACCGTTGGCAACGG